GACTTTAGGRAGTAGATGARTGTTCTCTTAAATGCTGACGTCGGGACTTGAACAAGGGGTCCCACCCTCTCATTGGCCTAAGAGGGACTTCTGGTTATTGGTCGGACCATAACCAGGTTGTTCATTARAGGAGCAGTGGTATTTAAGGAGTAAGATGTAACTCAGGGGTAAAACGGTAATTTGACCCAGCTTGAGTTACGAGCACTCGTGAAGGATTGACTTGTCATTAATGGTCATATATTCATRGACACAAAAACATTCTGCAGTGAGAAGAGTGCAACTGCGGGTCTTTAGTGGAGTGACCYGTAGTWAACGAATGTTAATTAACTCGGTCAATGAGTTTGACCGATTAATCTCGCATCGTTGGAGCTTCTGATCTGTAGGTCCATTAGGTCCCCTTGCTAGCTCATAACGGGTAAAACGAGGATCAARTTTTTGGAAAATTTTGAAATTTTCAAATTGCTCAAGGGATTATATGTATAGTGATACATTATAATATATAGTTAATTCTAATTAAAACTATATATTATGAGAGAAATTATTTGAATGAGATTCAAATAAAATTAATATGAATATGATTCATATTAAAACTATAGGTTAAACATAATATGCATAAGATGTACATTACAACTATAGATTATATGAGAGAAATGCTATAGAATACGATTCTATTTTTGTAATAAATAATTAAGTGTTAATTATTTATTTGATTTATATATATATTAATTGTTAATTAGATTAATAATTAATAATTAATAATTATTTATTAATTAATATGATTAAATAAATAAATAAATATATATATATATATATATTAATCATTATTATTTATTAATAATATTAATATATAACTCCCCTACAAAAATGCTGGGGAGTTAAGCGACGTGGGTTAACTCCCCACATCACAGTTTCTTTTGTTTTGGTTTTTCAGAAAGGTTMTGGARAAACAGAACAGACACTCTCAACATTTTCTCTCAATCACACTCTCTCAATTCTCCCTCACATTCCCTGACRCTCCCACAAACATGATCTTGGTACCCAGAGAATAGCTTGGAAGATCTATTGGTGGTGTTCAGGAAATCGTTGAAGAACAGTTCTTCAAACGTAAGTTTTTCCCTGTGTTTCCTTTTTTGCACATTTGGTTTTGTTTCTCAAGATTGATGAACGATGATCATCGCTTCTGTTGCGGGATTCACATCCCATCAAAATTAATGTTGAATGAGCCCGACACTTYAAAATGAAGTTCGAAAATGCTGGAGTTTCCTGATTTGATGCCAAAAAGGGATGAGTAATGCAAATCGGGCTTCAATTGGGTGTGGGTAAGCACYGAAAACCACCGAAAAGCTGTTGTCCATGAAATCCAGCAAATAAGGTGCACTACTGATGCTACTGTGTGCAGTCTAGTTGACGGGGATGTTGCTACTACCATAAAAACACCCCGAACTGCGGCGATTTCTGCTGCAAATCGCCCTAAACTGTTGCAACTGCTTCTGGGTGACGGGTTTAGTGATGAAAGCTTCGAGCTTTCTTGAAGACATCACAGATCGACGCGTGGAGAAGCGGCAATGTTCGAAACTGTGCTTAGATGAGGCTGAGCCACTGCCAAATATTTGCTATACGTGGGTTTCGCAAATCTGTCATGGTTGTGTCGCCGTACGTTTGTTAGATCTTAAGCATAAACTATCCATTCTGCTCATAACATGCCAAAAGGAGCCGCACGCACTGCTGGGCCGTCGAAGAACGCCAGATCTGGGCATTTGTTGTTGTCGCGCCACCAGTCGAAAACACTACAGCAGGAGGGTCACGCCGTCATGGGGTTCGTTCGCATCGCCGTTCGCTAGGAAACACTGTCGTGGAGTCGCAGCCAATGATGATGAATAATGAGGACTGCTATGGAGGAAGAAGAAGAACAACAAGAAGGTGGGTGGYTAGGGTTTCCTTCATTTTTTTTCCTTCTATTTTCTTTCCCTTTCTCTTTTTGTTTTATTTATTTTACAAAAAAGAAATGGACCCARTGAAACTAAAATAGTAACACAAAGTAATGTTCAAGGTCTTATAAAAAAAAAAGAACGTTACATAATCATTTTCCCAATAAGAACTCTCTCTAAAAATGCTTCGGAAAATTTATCTAAAAGATTAACTAAATTTAAAACCCAAACTTAGAACTCTAATATTAGAAAATYCATGAAAYTAAATATCAGCTTAGAGGAAAAATCCAAGGGCACAAATAAGTCTTAAAATAAACGAGCCAGAGAACGCGRGCGTTCACTACAAGAATTTAGAGATTTGCGACTAAGAAATTTGTCGCTAAAGGTTGGAAAGTCGTCACCAAAATCGTCGCCGCTGCCCTGTCGCGATAGATCTTTGACGACGAAATCATTTTCGTCGCCGAAAGTCTATGGCAACGAAAATGATTTCGTGGCCAAAAGCCCCTAYGGSGACGAAATTGCGTCATTATTTTTTTTAATTCTTGTTTCTTYATCCTCKTTTTTCTTCTTAAACGTTAAAAAATTTAAATCAAACTTCATAAACACGTATTCAAAARTATATATAAACTTCAATTTATATTAAACAACAAATAATTATTACAATCGGTATGATATAGAAAATTGAATAGATAATAGAAGCTAAATTTCGACTGCAAAGTAAATCTAAACCTAATACAAAAATCATCATCTCCTTGGCTTCATGAAATCTCCTCCAATTACCAAAGTTTGTGAGAAGAAAAATCAAAACAACCTGAAAAACAGAATTAAAGAGATGAAAACTTAATACAAGAACCCATTAACCAATTATTTTATCTTCAAATAAGGAAAAAAAAATAGAGACGTCAAACAAACAGAATTAAAGACATGAAAACTTAAAAAATATACCAAAAAAATAGTCATAACAAATAACATTAATTTGATTTTGAGTGTGTAACAACATAGAGAAAGAGAAAGAACAAGTTTTAGAATTTTACCGACGAAGAACAACGGAGAAACACGACAAAGTGAAGCAGTGACGATAGCACAGCGGTGGCATCCTATGATTTCAAGATATATATACTCAGATTACTTGAAAAATAAAATAAAACAAAGTATAGATTAATACCTCAAAATCAGTAGAAGAAGAGTGGTGGTGAAGGATGAGAAGCAATAGAGAGAGAGAGGACACATCACACACACAGAGAGGTTGGACACATCCACGGAGACGGAAGGAGGGAGAGAGAGTGGTGACAGTGGAAGGAGGGAAAGGTGATGATAGAGGCGGTGGAGGGAAGGAGAGGGAGTGGTAAAGGCGGAAGAATGGTCGGTGATGACGGAGGTGGTCGAGGGAGGAAGAGGAAGTAGTAGGGAGAAGGAGGAAGAAAACAACTAAAAATGAAAGGGAGGAGGAAGAAAACAACTAAAAMTGAAAGGGAAATGGAGGGGGTTAAAACGTGATCTATGGCRACGAAATAAAAAGTCGTTGCCCAAAACCCTTAATATCGTCGCCTTAAGTTTCCCTAAAAAATTGGGCGGTAAAAATCTCGCCATTTCTCAAAACTTTTGGCGACGAAACCTTKAATTCGTCGCCAAAAGTGTCTTATGCGACGAAATCACGATTTCGTCCCCAAAAGTTATGAATAAAAAATATTAATTTAATCGGGACTTTTGGCGATGAACCCAAATTTCGTCGCCATATGATACTTGTGGCGACGAATTGCAATTTCRTCGCCAAACGTTTTGTCGCCAAAACTAAAATTTCTTGTGGTGGTTACAGAAAATGTGAGAATTTCAAAAAGTGAAAAGTCTACGTTTACAAAGGCAACGACAATTTTTTGGAGTAAAAATGATATTTCAATAAAAAAATTTCGGTTMAGTTGAACTAGTCATTTTATGTAAACCAAAAAATCAAACTCAACCATTCAACGAACATCCAAACAACTAAATTTAATTATATTTATTTCAAATTATTTTTGTTCCAAACAAGATAAAGAATTTTCAATCGTATCTCTGACTTTAAATCACGAAATTTAAAATCATTTCTTGAATATTCTTGCCAGCAAACGAGGATAAGAGAAAGTATTGAATTCTTGCAAAAATGAAAAATAAAAAATAAAAATACACACCCAATAAATAATAAAATTGAATTCTATTTATAGAGACGATCTCTGACAAGACTCCCGCCAATGGCTTAACGGTCATCCGACAGCCCGTAAAACGCGACGTGTTGTTTGATTAATGTGTTAATCAACACTCTTGCAGACATCTTCGCGTAGGTCGCCTCTAACCTTCTAGGTCGGTTGATAAAACATAATGAACAGGTTAGCTCAGCAAAACATTCCAACCTGAAGAGACCATGATTAAAGATATTCTTAAATAACAATACCTTTCTTTTGTCGACACGTGGCCGTCGATAAATAGTCTCCAACAAACCTAACTAGTTCCAATTTAAACCCAAAATAATTCATAAGCATTCGATTAAGTTGACTACCTTTCATTCCAATAAAAAAAACTCGAGTATAATTTAAATATGAATATTTTGTYTACGAARTGCTTGGTGAAACTARAATTAACTTATATTATTTTTATAGAAATATATTAATAGAGRGTTKAAAAATTAATTTAAATTCATAGGGCTYAAACTAGGGACCGAAGAGAGGAATCACACAATTACGCAGGATAAGCATACCACTATACCAAATACCATTTTCTACTTGTTTCATGGAGTATTTGGRGAAACTATTAAGCRTAAATCTATACTCGATGCGACTGGACAATCCCGAAATAATTAATATCGTTAAAAAAGCTGYAGTTTTTCTGAYAGAAATGAAATGCGCTCAAAATCATTTGTTTTTGTATGTCATACATTCTCAAGATGGTCTAGGTAATTATTATGAATACTTGAATTTCTTTTTATTTTTCTTGACAATTATAAAATGTCATAAAAGCATGAAAATTTTCGTAAATTGTCGTTTTTTGGCACCAAAATCGCGCCTCCACCATTTCGTGACAGTTTTCACTGTCATTGAAAATTCAGTTTTCATGACAGTTGTTGGAGCTTTGTCCCTTCTTGTGTCTACAATTTGCAGCTATATGGCCACTATTGCCACAAACCCAACAGATTGCACGAATACGCTTGTTAGCGTCATTCCTTGGCCCAAGATTCACATTCTTTGTCTTGACTTGATTCTTCTTGGGATGACGCCTTGAAGCTTCAGCAATATGGACATTAGCTTCAACTTTACGTGGCTCTTTGTCTCCCTTTCTGTTGTCCTCTTCAATGTGGAGTTTCACAGTAAGATTCTCCATGAACAACTTCTTTCGCTTATGTTTGAGATAACATTTGAATTCTCTCCAAGCAGGAGGTAATTTCTCAATCACAGCAGCAACTTGGAATGATTCATTAATGACCAATCCTTCACGTTACAAATCACTAATGATAATTTGCAATTCTTCCAACTGGTTAACTACAAACTTGGTATCAACCATTTTATAATCTAAGAATTTTCCAACAAGGAATTTCTTAGTACTAGCATCTTCCAGCTTATACTTCTTGTCTAATGCCTCCCACAATTGCCTTGAAATATCAAAGGCATTGCAGTAGACATTATACAAGGTGTCATCTAGGCAACTYAGAATGTAGTTGCAACACAGGAAGTCTGAATGCAACCATGCTTGTTTGGCAGCTTCAGTTTCAGGAGTGATTGCTTCTAGCGGAGTAGTTGGGATACCTCCTTTAAGATGAGCAAGATTCAAGGTGGTGAGGTAGAAGATCATCTTCTGTTGCCATCTTTTGAAGTTTTCTCCCTTGAACTTCTCTGGTTTTTCAACATGAGATTTGACAATGGTCRATCCCATCATCGAAGGAGCGTTGGCAGAAGTGTTTGCAGCCATCAGATAATTGTCTTCAGATTGTTGGGTAAATATACACTGTATATATGAACTRTGTAGTACTGACAAACAGATTACAACGTAACTAGYTACAAACGATATAAATTTGAACAACTTGATGAACACCAAAAMTTGATAAAAAATAGTCGAGACACGCTTCAATAGCGYTGACYTGAAGACAATTATTCGCTCTTCACAAGTTGCTAGCAGACTACAGCGATAATCTCAGCAGGATACAACGACTAACTTCGGTAGAACTGCAACCTCGAACTACTTGGATCTGGCAGAACTCTTAGATACTTGCTCTCAACATAAACAAGAARAACAACTCAAAAGAAGAGAGAATTCTTGTGAGAGGAGGAGAATACCCAATTGTAGTATGCTTGGATATCTCAAAATGAAGAAATCCACAACTATATATAGTTGTACAAACAAGTACATCTCACTCAAAATTAAACACATATGTAACATTTTTACATATGTTACATAGTTAACTTTAACACATTTATTTGTAACTTTAACAAAATAAAGAAAYAATTTTTCATTTAAATACATAACTTCAAGTTTAATAAATAAATAAATAAAACCACTAAAGAAATAAATATATTCACAACGTATATGTGAATAAGTTTGTTTAAATTTCACTTTCTTTCACACCTTTAAATCCAACAGAAAGTATATATATATTAAACAGATGAAGGTTATAAAAAATTGTCATGCGAAGATGTTTTTAACATGGAAATTTAAGAGATCATCCAAAAAGTTTCTTACATGCTTTTTGAATGGGTATCTTTTAAAAGGATTAAGATTCATGAACTGGAATTACATAACTTAATTTGACTACGATATCATCAACTAAAAGTTAAATATTTGAATCTCAACTCTCACTATAGACACCATATTTGGTCCAGCTTATTTTATTATTTTATTATTTTATTACTATTATTATTTAATTAAATTTGATTGTCGCAACGTGATCGCGACGCGGAGCGGCTGACGTCTTCTTTTAAAGGTCTCTTARAATAAAAGATTTTGGAGTCGCCACCAATYATGGTTGAGGGTGTGATTGGTCACCCAATTAGAAGAAAAAGCAAATTGGTCTACGCAAATCACATTGAGTTYGAGAGTCATTTGAGTATAGCAAAGGTATTAGCACCCTACAACACCCGTGAAACGGTTAGCAGTATTTTAATTTTTATTATCCAATTTATTAGATTATTAAAGGTCACCAAAAATTTATTTATTTTCTTTTTAAATATCCCATTTATTAATCCACATTTTAGAAATAAAACACGAGTTAATAATTATGGGTGACATAAATGTCATTCAAAATATGAAATTTTATTTTGGGATTATTAAAATTTATTTTAAAACGGAAATTTCATTTATGGAATTTATAAAATCAAGAACAATATTTTTCCAAAATTATAGAAATTTATATTTATTTGCGCGAGAATTTTCATGTATTTATGAATTTTAAGAAAATTCACAAATTTGATTTATGTTGTTTGTTAAACAATGAGTTTTGAAATTTTGTTAAATTAATTTTTGGGAGGAATTTCATGTATTTATGAGATTTTAAC